TATTAAAAAAAAAAAAAAAAAAAAAAAAAAAAAGCATATATATCTAATTATATATTAGTGCTACTAAAAAAAAATCTGTAAATCTTTTAATCAAGATTTGCAAGTTTTTTTGGTAGCACTTATATAACAATAATCTTTTATATATTTTTAAATTAAGATTTTATTATATTAATATTAGCCTGTTAAAGTTTTACAAATGAGCAAGTTATGCACAGATATTATATATAATTATCAATCTGGTGCAGCATATACATGTGATAATAATATCTTTAATACATATATAGAAATATGTTTAACAAAACCAAATGATACTGATACTAATAGTGAAGCTTTTGATTTAAATAGTATAAATAATCTGAGTTCTAATAATTTAAATATTAATGAATCTTCTGAAAATGAATCATTGAAAAATAGAAAAATACTTGATATAGAAAGTGAAGAAATAGTTGAATTCTTGGATAAAAAATTAGATAGTAAAGATATAGATAATAAGGAAGACTTTGATAGTTATTTACAAAATTAGGTGAACATGCTAGAAGAAGAAAGACTATGATTTGAAGAAGAAGATTTCTAAGTGAAATATGCAAATGAAGATGAACTCTTTATAAATAATATTACTTATCCCACAATTGACACTAATGCAAAATAGAAATTGTCTATACTTTTTAAAAAATTGAACCTAAAAGATATTTTTTAATTATATATTAACCTATATTTGTATTTAACAGAACATGACTTTCTTTTTATTTTAAAAAGTTTTACATCTATTATATTTATTATCAAAACCTAAAAAAATATTCATTTACAAAATAATTGCACTTTTGCAGCAAAAACATCTTAAATTTAAATATATTAGAAATTTTTATAAATATTATTATATTTGATTTCTTTGAAAATTATTTTTTTAAGTCTATTAAATACAGTTATTTTTTATAACTTTTTTACTTTGTATATTTTGCAAGGTTATTTATAATATTAAGCTTGAATTGGTGTTTATAAATTCATATTACTGTGTGGTATAAATTTGAAATACTTTAAATATTAATCATGATTATGAAAGAATTAACTATTTATATATCCGCTATTATAGCTTGTCCATTGATATGGACATAACTTTTGCTAGTTCACATCTATGAACATCTATGTTCATGAACAGTTTATGTCTATGTTCATAGACAACACTGTATATATATATATGATATATATATATGATATATACATATAAATATCTAGCTACTAGTAGAAGTTTCTTTTTTATATTGTGACTTTTATCATCATAACATGTTATACTTTTTTATCTCTATAATTATTACTAAAGAAGTTACCCTTTTGTAAAAAAATAAAATAAGAGTTTAAATCATGTTACCAGTTACTTATATAGTACTTTTAAGTGAATAACTCTGTTATCAAT